GGGCACGGCGGCCCGGGGAGGCTAGCTGGGACCCGAGCCGGGCTCTGTCGAGTTGCTTTGGCGAAAGAAGGCGGAGAGCTCGCTCAGCGCTCTGTAGCGGTGGGAGATCGAGTTCTTCACTGCCTTGGGCAGTTCGGCATAGCTGGAGGGGAGAGAAACCACAAGTCTCGGCAGCGGAGACGCTGCAGCGCGTGTCCCGCGTCACCGAGGGTTCCCCCTCTGCTTGACTGCATCAGGGCATCTGCGGTGATGCTGGCAAAGCCAACGTCCCCCATCCTGACCTGGGGTCCCCCCCAACCCACCACGTTCAGATGCAGGAGGGTGTTTTCTTCCTGCCACCCTTGCCCATAAAGCAGGTTCCTCTCCACACCCAACCTTGACCCTGGCTTTGCTTACATAAGGAGCTGTAGGTAAAACACCACTTACGTCTGGTTGTAGCCGTCGGGCTGGAAGCAGGGATCCCAGCCAAAATCCCGAGGGCCTCTGGGCTCCACTATCAGCCCCTGCCACGAGATAGCAAAAAAGCTGTGGCTTTGCAGGCGTGCAGTTGCATTTCAAACACAGACTGAAGAGCTACCCGCAGCCACAGCTCACAAGGTGGTCACCAATGGCTTGGTAGGGGCTGCTGTCCTCGTTCCCAGGACGTAAAGAAAACTAGCAGTCCCAAACTCAGTGCTTAACTCATGCTGCCCTACGCTGACAGCCCCTTTAACCCCCAATTAACAGAGCTAACAACTGCACTCAGATACAACCCTGTCAGAGGGAGATGAGGGGGCTGAAGACCCTGAGGTAACGTGCAAAGCGTTTGGCATGTACAGCTGGGCAAAAGAGCTACAGCATTCAGCACCTACCAGCTGCACTCTCCCTCAGCCTGTTCCCAACAAGCTCCAAAGGCATTCAGTGAAAAATTGTCCTCAACAGAGCCAACGCTGTTACGAAATCCACATCACAGCCCTCCTCCCTCAGCATGTTCCCTTCCCCAGGCACACCACCTACATGAGTCTGGCCTTTGAAGAGCTTCACTGGCTCCTCCGGGTTTCCAGTACTGAATGCAAAGGTACAGAGAGCGTAGGCAGATTTGTCTTCAAACCCAGCCAGCAGCTTGTACAGGCCTGAGCGACACAGAAAGGATCGCAGCGTTACTGCCTTTCCCTCAGAGCGCAACACGCCCACCTAGAGACGGATCGAGGGAGCATTCTGCATCCACATTCACAAGAGGAAGAACTACAGGGGGTGACAAAACTCGGGCACAAGGATGCTCTTGGCTGGGTCTCTCGTATGGCTGAAGCCAGCACCTCAGATCTAAAACAGCGTGAGCTGCAGGGCCCCACTATCAATTTGGGAGTGGAAGCAAACAAGCGCATGGCACCAGAGAGGACTAAAGACCACTCTGAATTAGTGTGATTAACGCTCTAGCTCCTGATGCCAGTGTGGGATTTGCAGTCACGCTCTTAACTGTGGGATCAAGGGCAATCACTGCACACCTGGGGAGGTGAGCATTAGTGGGGAGGGGCTTGCACAGAAGCCAAAGGGAGCAGCAGCTCTTCCGGGTCACACTGATGACAAAACAAGATGTTCCCACAAGCCCTGCCACCAGCCTGCAGAGACAGTAGTCTGGGAATCCAGGGATGATGCTGAAGCTACTGGGGGAAACATCCCATGAAGAAGGGAACAGAACAGGCTCAAGGAGAAAACGCAAAGGGACAGAGCTGGACAGACAGGAAAGGAACCATCTATGAAATGGGCAGTGCAGTGGGCAAGCATGCTCAGCAGAACCCAGCATGGGCACGGATCCATTTCATTTGGAAAGGACCAAGTTACATACAGAGCAGTAACACAGGAGTCAGCACCTTCTGGTTTGAGTTTTTCCAGGAACCATTTTCTGAAGGGGAAGAAGAGAGGAAAGATTAATTTTTGCTATTGTTTCTCAGAAACACAGGCATCCTTGGGACATTGTTGCCTACATTTTCATAGCCCTTTGAGTCCCTCTTAAATGTGCTGCCAAATCACTTCATTCTGGACTATTTATGAATAATGACAGGACTTAGCTCTTAAACTGAATGGGACACAGTGAAAACAGCAGTGGGGTATTTACTGCAGTGCTGGAGTCTATATAAACATCCCAATTCTCACTTGTGAGCACTGACATGCTGAAATACATTTCTCAATTCAACTTGCTCGCATCTTACACCTAGTTCTAGTGCCAACTTCATCATATAAAGTTTTTACGACTCTACTTAACTCAGCAGAGATAGTTTGGAAGAGTTAATCACACTAAATCTTAATTCCAGGAGCTAACGCAGTATATTATTAGAGGAGTTACACTGTAATGCAATAGTCTTATTATCTGCTGGATTAAAGCAGTCCCTGTGAGAACCTATAGGACACTCATCCCAGAGTCCTGCCGGAATGCATGGTGCCTTAACTACACAAAGCCCGCCATGGGGCCAGGTTCCCAAGCTGGCTGCAAGAGCAGGCACCATAGATCAGGACCCAGAGCCAACAGTTTGGGTCCATGTCTCTCGTCCTGCACCGTGACTTACAGCAGGGCTCAAGGAGTTCAAGTCCAGCCCCTGCGATGCAGGGTAAAGCCCGAGGACACAGACCAGTAATCACCTCCCTGACCCCATTGCCCCAATCCCCCATGAAGCACACCCTGCCAGCCTGCACTCCTAACTCTAAGACACGAAAGGTGAAGCAAGCACCCTCCTACTTACATGTAGGGTCCTGGAAGCCCCCCCAGGGCATTGAAGCACAAGCAGGTATCCTCTACTATAACAGGTCCCCGAACCTACGTGGGAAGCCCAAGAGATGGAAACATTAGACCTAGAGAAAGGCATGGCCTCAAAACCCATTTTCTTGCTCTATCCTATTCTCACATTTCCACGATAACAAGAACATCACAAAACTCCACGAGCACTAAAGGTCCTCGCCTTGGAGGCAATCTGTACCAGACAGGTACAACTAAACACATGCTCTCCCCAGGCAGGCCAGAGTGGCTGAAGTCTGGTAGGGAGGATCCCACATGGAGAAAAATGGGCAGAGTTGAACACCTCCTGCCCTCTTGGAGGGGCAGGAATGGTGGGACAAGGAGGGGGAAAGCCTGTGTCCTGGAGGCACGCCTGCATTCTCCTTGAGTCTCAATCCTCACTCGGTTCTTTTGCGACACCCATGCCAGAGACAGCCCAGGAAGGTGAACCACCAGAAGCTCCAGCTGACCGGGGCTCGACTGAAGTTGCTGTCGTGTCCTCCGGCTGCTTCAGGGACACAAGGGGCCAGAGGAGCTGCAGCGGGACTGCCTAAACACTGTGTCGCCAGTGAGAATTCCCCATCACCCAGCGCAGGCCAGAAACAGCCGGGTGATGGGAGTGCAGCCAGGCCCGGCCCGGCCCGGCCCGGCCGCATCCGACTTTCCTCAGGGCCGGGTCAGAAACCTCGACGCTCTCAGCTGCCGCCCGCCCCGCCGGGGGCCCCCGGCGCTCCCGCACCCACGCC